CAAACAAAAGTTTCTTCAGTGATTCTGGACAGGGCTTCCTAAAGAGCTACCCTGTGTTCAGCCCCATGATACTGAGCTCTACATAGCAAACCTGCTTCCTTCTCCCTACCCACCCCATTACACTGCAACCTCTTGGTGGGCAAGGGCTGTGTCTGCCCTGGAAGCCATGCAGAGGAGGCCCTGGCTTGTGAGAGGCACACACTTGATATGTGTTTATTCAGGGAGTCACTGTGCCATCCTGAAGGCAGATCTTAGACCCTGTCATCACTGCACACTGTCAGCAGGGTTCCCTCCCCGCAAGCTTCAGGACATGCATGATCTGGAGTAGACGCCTGAATGGGCATCCTGTGGGGTAAAGCTGCTGAACTTGACACATCAAATATCAGAGCTGAACATAGCCTGTCTGTCGCCTGCATGTTTCTTAGAGAGTGACAAGGTCACAGCACAGGCACTGTAGTGACTCCTCTCCCAGCAGCCAAGGCAGTTGAAAATTGCATTGATTTGGTGACCTTAGCTGGGCATGATGGGATGTGCCTGTGTTCCTAGCTACTCAGGAGGCTAAGGCAGTGGCATTACCTAGGCCTAGGGGTTTAAGGCTACAGTGAACTGTGATTATACCCCTGCACTCCAGCCTGGATGACAGAGTGAGACCTCATCTCTCTTAAAAAAAAAAAAATGTATTGTAGCCTAATCCAGCCAACATTTATTAAGCATTACTCTGTTCGGGGCATAGGTGTAAACAAAGCACTGAGGTATGAAGCAGTAGAGACGGTAAGTACAGATACACATATCTTCTCTCTCTCCTCAGCGCTCGCTATGGGCACTGGCATAAGAATAAGGCCCCAGGGGAGTACCGCAGTGGCCCCCGCCTCATCATTTTCATTCTTGGGGGCGTAAGCCTGAACGAGATGCGCTGCGCTTACGAGGTGACCCAAGCCAACGGGAAGTGGGAGGTGCTGATAGGTGAGTTGACATGATTCCTGGAGGAAGGAGCTGCCTCATCGCACTTTGACTCCATTCCACGCTTTGGTGTTGGTCTGTCTTAGACTCTCTGTTGCCCTTACAAACTTTAGCCTGTAGGAAACTGGGCAGCAGAAGCTAAGGAGCAGAGGGTTCCCTCCTGGCGTGCATCCTGCTGTGTCTCCTGTTCAAAGGCAGCACCATGATCTATGCCTGGTCATAGAGTCCAACAGGCTCAGGCTCAAATCTCTGCCCTACTACCACACAGTGGGGTCACCTTGAGCAAGTGACTCAAGTCTCTAAGCTGTCACTTGCTTGCCCAACAACATGGGGTTGACAGCACACACTTGCAGCCTTGGACTAGGTCTGAGATGAGATTATCAGTTTCCTGGCAGTGGATGGAGGGTAAGTTATCACCCTCCTCCTCCACCCAGGGGGATGTGAACAGACACTCCCTGAAACCTCCTGGCCTGGCTGCTGGGTCTACTCAGGTCCCTCCACCGCTCCTCTCACCTTCTAGGTCTGCCATACCCTTTCCTGTATGTCCTGTTGGTTTTCCAAAAGAGGAGCTGACTGAATGGAGCAGGAGGCTTTTTTCCATTTTTGTGCCTTCAGCAGCTTCTATGATTTTTAAGACTGGAAGAGGAAGAGCTAGCCGGGAAAAATCTTGCTTTCTCCACATGCCTTCCTTTTTGTCCTGTCTTGCCTTTAAAGAAATAGAGTGGCACCTGCCTGTGCAGAGTCCCTCTCAACACTGACAAGAGCCTGTCACATATATTGCCCTGGCCAGGCCCTGCCCTCAGCATGGTCATGCTGCATAAGGCATGAGCCAGGTTGTTGGCCTCTTTGGAAGGGAGTGTGCTCTGCTCCCAGTGGGAACTCACTCTCCAGGGCCTGAGGGTTGCCTCTCAGACCATTTACACATAAACCAGTACAGGCAGAGGCCTTGAGCTGCCCACCTAGGAAGGCTTCTCTGACCCTGCCGCATAGGTCACAATCCCAGTCATGGTCATTATCTCAGTAACAAGTGTCACTTTTGTACCTCAAAGTGGGGTGACCAAGTCCTAGTGCCCCCTAGACTATCCAAGCACATGGGCTCCATAGACCAGTCCTTATGACTGTTCTGAGTTTGCCAAGATGGACCTAAGGCTATCAACACGGCTATTTCTTACCACAGTCTGGTGAGGACATTGTACATCCCCACCCAGCTCCCTCAAGCTTCCCTGTCCAGTCACTAGTTTTCCCTGCAGTTGTTTTTTTCTGTTGTTATGCAGGCCCCGGTGACAAAGCCCTCTGTTCCCTGCTTGCATATGTGCTGCATGAATGTGCTGGATGGTTCTGGGCCCTAACACAGCTTTCCTGGGCAGAAGCTGTCCCAGCCAGGCTTTTGGTATAAATCTTCTTCATCCATGAACCTGGCTTGAGCCTCCCGTGGGAGGTAGAGACCTGGGGGTGTGAAGTTGCCTATGCAGATTCGTGGAGGGGCCTTGCACAGACAGCTGACGTCCGCTGTGTGGGCTCACCTGCTTCATGCATGCCAGCCGCCCTGCCACCTTGCTGCATGTGTGTGCGCAAGTGTGTGTGTGTGTGTGTGTGTGTGTTCGTCTGGCTTTCTCATACCTCATTGGCTGCACAAAATGTAGGCCTAAGTTGGCATGTTCCTGTAACGTTCCTTGTTCAAGCAGTCAGCTGGCCTCTGTTCTCCCACAGGTTCTACTCATATTCTTACTCCCACCAAATTTCTCATGGACCTGAGACACCCCGACTTCAGGGAGTCCTCTAGGGTATCTTTTGAGGATCAGGCTCCAACAATGGAGTGAGAGCCAAAGAAACAAAGTAAAAGCAGCTTATTTCAGAAAAGAAACTCTTCCACTCTGAAGGGTTTTCTTTGATTATTCCGTCACTTTTTCTTTATTTTTCCTTTTTTAGTTTATTTATTTGATTTTCTTTTAATAAGAAAATGCTTGCAGTTCTTAACACCGATTGAAAATGTGTCCAGTGCTGCCTTCACAACCCTGTCATGAACCCTCGGGGCTCCAACATGCCAGCTCACTCATGCCTTGGGTTACTCGCTGCTCAGCCAGATGGCTGCAGGCCACTAGGTCTAAACTGAAATGATAGAGACTGCTGTGAACAGTCCTCAGAGAGGGAGCTGGAGATGAGGGATTCTGAGGCCCAGTGCCCAAGCCTGTTGATCTAGGCATAAATGTAGAGGTCCCCACAGGAATGTAAAGCACCCTGGCTATGACGTGGCCTGACAGCTGGAGGGCAAGGCCAGTGGTCACTTAGGAAACGTCAAGTCCCAGAAGGCAGCATCCAGTGGAGGTGCCCAGAGGCACCTATTGTGCAGAAAGCTTGAAAAAGAGCCTCAGAATAGACTCAGGTCAATGGTAGTTAGACGTGTGAATAGCTTTTCCTAGAAAGGCACATCCCCAGGAACAGTTCTAAAGGGTGACTGAGTCACAGGACACCATGTGCCGGGGGAACTCCAGTCTTCAGTAGGCAGAGCTTGTCTCATGTTCCTCTGCAGAAAATGGCACTTAATAGTCATTTGCTCTTTCAGTAATTGCATTTCTTTTAATTCTCCTGTGGCTCCTTTCAAGAGTTGAGTAGTTACATCCCTCTCTTCACTGAAGTCTCTTGGTAGGGTCTGAGATACTTTTAGAAGAAATCTATTCTTGGCACTCGGTGGTTTTAAAGAGCATCTTCTATCTCCATCAAGCTCGTTACCCATGAACCCATTGTCTGTCTGGTAGACTATCCAAGCTTTTGTTCTTTAAAACCACCCTCGTTTCTTCCTCTCTTCCCCATCCTTCGTGTATGTTGGGATGCTCCTAAACTGTATTTAAATGGCAGGCTGATGCTAAAGTGATACACTCCATAGCATTAGCAACTCCTTAGCTTTGTTATACATTCTGTGATGAGGCCACATTTTATGACCTGACTTTGTAGACACCATTAATGATGGACCCTGGAAATGCCCCTTCACCTGAGCTGAGATGTAGCCCGGTGGTCATGGAGCAGGAGTCCCCTGTGAGCAGTAGAGAGAGACACAGAGCCAAAGAACTGGCCTCCACCCCAGCTCCTCCTTGAGTGCCCATGTGGCTATGATATGTCACTCCCACTTTCTAGGCCACAGCATATTTGCACAGGAGAGCTATATCACAGCACCCCAAGCTCCCAGGAACCCTAACAGTCTGTAAATTCAGTGATCCAGATTTGTGCATCAAACCACACAGTCCTATCCACTCTCACTGTCTGCTGAATCTCAGGGGAATGGCCTATCAGAGCCTTGGTGAGGTAACATCAGAGGCAAGTGCTTGTTCATATAAAGAAAATGGTGCTACTCCCTGAAGGGAGGGGCAGGAGGCCACGCAGTTTATCTCCTCCCCTCTTCTTTCCTTGGCAGGGGATGCCATACTCCAGGGCAGCAGTGTGCTGAGACAGCAAGTAGTTGGAAGCCAGGAATGTATACCTGGTTATGGCCCTGGGCTTGCTTTGCCCTAGAAAGCAAGGCCAATGGGTGGTGAATAAAAGCAACTGTTAAAAAAAAATAATTCCTTAGAAACACTTTGATAGGGGTTTAATCAGAGACATCTGGTTCTGTGTGCAGATGGCAGGTAGGTGGACAGCCTTTGCTGCAAAATGTATTTTAAGACTTAGAGAAGGACAAACAAATGTTCAGTCAAGACTGTAGTAATCACACACCACTGCAGGATCTGAAAGAATCACAAACCCAAACCGCAAGGGCTCCTGTAGGATTGGTGCTGGGGTTTCCTGCCTCAGCAGCCTCCCCTTTGCAGAGCATGTGCCTTTGTTTTATATTTGATGAGCAGAGAGGGTCTCCACTGCCATCAAAACAGAGGAAGAACAAGCAGACTCTGGTTGTATGTTCTTGGCTTTTGAAATAATTTGCTGGGCAGTTGGATTTTAAAGAGTTCAGTGGCTTGGCGCTTGTGGCTCAAGCGGCTAAGGCGCCAGCCACATACACCTAAGGTGGTGGGTT